CTCTTTTTCCCTTTTTTATGTTTTTTGCTTATTTTGTTTTATTGTTTTGGGGACCACATCAAGTTGTGCTCAGGTGTTATTCCTGGCTCTGTCCTCAGAGATGACTCCTTTGTGGTGCTCAGGGGATCATATGTGGTGATCCTGATGAAACCTGGATTGGCCCTGTGTGCCCTATTCCCTATATTCTCTCTCTAAAACCCTTTACTTTTTTCTGTTAAAAAAATTAAAAGTCTACTTTTTTTACACAATACCTTGTCTAAAATTCTACTTGTTAGATGAGACAGTCATGTTTATTTTCACTGTCACTGTCCTCCCATTGTTCATCAATTTGCTTGAGCGGGCCCAGTAATGTCTCCATTATGAGACTGGTTGTTACTGTGTTTGGCATATCGAATACCTCACGAGGAGCTTGCCAGGCTTTGCTGTGTGGCAAATACACTCTCAGTAGCTTGCTGGTCTCTCTGAGAAGGGTGGAGGAATCGAACCTGGCTGAGTCAGGGCGGCCGTGTGCAAGGCAAACGCCCTACCACTGTGCTATCACTCCAGCCCCATGTTTATTTTATCAATAATATTTCAAAAAGACGATTTACTAAATGTATTCAACTCGGTTTTTTTTTTCAAGCTCAATTAATCTATCATTAAAGAAATACAAATACATTGGTGACTCAGAGGCCACGCAGAGGCAGCTAGCTGGATAAATACTTTATATAAGGAAAAGGGATGACTGTGAATGGAGATTTCTAAACTGATGACCAGAAAAGGAGTTTCTACTTTGAAAAAAACTGTCTGAGACATGATAAATGAGGTCAAACATAGGTGACTGTAGATACCGAACTAAAGTGTTTTGAAATTTCAGCATTGATTACAGTGCTTTTTGTCAGGGAACATATTGCTTCTAGGAGGAGACTATGTACAGAGAGAGACCAGATGGCACGACCTAAGACTTAGAAGGAAAGAGAAAGAAGTTAGGGTTCCAGAATCATAGAATTAAGAGTTCATAAACACAGTAATCATTAAAAAAAGTCCCTCTCCTTCATTCCAAAATAGTATTTTATAGAGATTTTTACATCAGTCATCCAATCTATAAAACATTTGTTATTTTTCTTCAAATGCAATACATACCCTTATGAAAGAACAAAATTGGCCTATATTTACATAAGGATCTATCAAAATTAAGTAGAATGTGAGAATCTTCTAATATTTGGTAAAAACACTCCCCCAATTTTTAATGAGGCACAGACACACATGTATTGGCAAGCACCAAAGAACATCACCATTAAGAAACTAAAAAATCAAAATAAATATATATAAACAGAATACAAAAATAGTATATAGTATTCAAGAAAAATTTTTTTAAATAATCTCATTAAGTACATAATCTAGTATAACCAGGTGTGGGATATTTAATAAATATGGTGTCATTATTATGGTTGTTTTGTTTGGGGGGCTACACATAGCAATTCTCAGGAGTTACTCTTATCTCTGCACTCAGGAATTACTCCTGGTGGTGTTTGGGGGATCATATGGGATGCTGCAAATCAAACTCAGGTTGCATGTACAAGATAAACACCCTATCACAGGTATTATTTGTCTGGCTTCCAAACATGGTGGCTTAAATAGAGAAATAAAAATAACTCTAACCCCAAAATACAAAAGTAGAAAGAATAGATGTATAACTCAAAGACAAATATAAATATGTATAACAATGTGATATGTATAGCAATTCCTTTATCTACCATATTCAACCATAAAATCAATAGCATTTTTATATTTAGAACTAAAATAAATAAATCAATGAATCAACCTGCTGAAAGACAGCAATTGATCCCCTGAAAACTGGCAGACTTATCAAATGTGAAACACATCCTACATTAATGGCTGTTAGTGATAAAAGAAAAAGCTTTCAGAGTCTGCAGGCAAAAGCAAGTAAATTAATAAAGGAGAGATTAGATTGGCATCTAATTTCTCAAGAGCTTTTACAAAACAAGATAAAGTTTGGACTGAACTAAAAAATATATGAAACAAAGAAAGTCTCAAATTTTGAAGAAAAATCTAGCGTCAAAGTCATGAGGGACTTGGAAATACGATGAACATTTTTAAATAATGTCACCTTATTCAGATAGATGAGGAATCTTAAAAGTCATCTCTTTGTTAGAGCCCAGATCAAATATAAAATATTGTAACTTTACCAGTGTTTCACTGTGTTAACAGTATTGTATTGTATTTTGATTCTGTACTTAACATGACTACCAGACATCTACTCCAAGAATGATTCAGTAGTTTTATGAATTTGATCCTGATAAAAGCAATAGCCAACCTCTTAATGAAGTGTATTACTCTAGTAAAAATAAAGGCAACAAACCACAAGACATTTTGCTGATATTATATTTCTATTTAGTTGAGAGAAATTGTATTTTTAAGACATTATAATTATTTCATATGTCTATATGTCTGCTTATCTAATTTATGGTCACAAATCTTAAAATATTAAGTAGTTATTACAATTTTATATTGTATAATGAACTGAATCAGAGCTTTTAATATGCTTATAAATATTCTAATAGTTTCTTTGAATTATATTATAAGCAACAATTATTTTCAGATATTGTTTCATACATTTCATCAGTCTACAAGAAATGTGTAAATGATGAGACCTTAAGAAATTCTATCAAACATTAAAACACATTTGAAAAGTTTAATGCATCTATATTATCAGGTATGATTTCCATAAATTATTCATTACTATTTAAAATTACAATAGTGACCCATATGCAATAAGTAGTTGTATATCTCTATCTATGAATGAACTTTGTTGGAGTACACAGAGCTTAGGTTTATCAGGTTGCACCCATCACAGTGCTCCTGAGTCATTTCCATTACTTTGTTTGTAACTACTTCTTTGTGCTCTTTTCCCCAACCAATTTGTAAGGCCTCATCCTTCTTAGACACTGAAGCTGTACTGTAAGTTAATATTGCCTTTCTCCTCTCCTTATGTCTTTTGAATAGTTTACCTTAATACAATGACCTTTTTGTATAGATACAGGAAGACAATATTATGCTTTATAACTTAGGATTTAATTGGCTTTGAATATTATTATCTCGGGCATCTGCTTTCTCAATTTAAGCCTCAGTTGCCCTCACTTCCTAGCACCTCAAAAGCAGGGTCCCCACGTGGGACTGGATGGAACCAGGGCAAGCCGGTAAGTTATGTGCTACCCTGGCATCACGATGGGCCAGGCCAAGGTGCCACAATCCTTAACTATAGGTTAAGAGTTTGATCATAGGCAAATGCTGTCATGATCCAAAAGTAAAGACGAGACTAGGACCCTGCTGCTAAGAATAGGAAAGCCTATCTGACCTGAGCACTGTAGTCTGAGATTGAGATGGCCCTAGGAGAGCAATTCTATAAGCTCAAAGTATTTCTTACTGTGTCCATACAAAATGATTTATTTTATGTATGCTTATATGTTGGTCGGACAAGGAGAGGAGAAACACATACAGGGAAATGTGTTCTAGGGTGGGTTGATCTGTCCTAGAAGCAGTTTTCCTGTGTGTCTTGACTAGCTTGAATGAGACTTTGAATGAACCTTTCTCCCCTTCAAACTGCCTTCAGTAAATGATTTCAGTATATTGAGGCAGTTTCCCTTATCTCACAGGAACCTAGCTGGTCTTAGGTATGCAGATCGCAGGTGCTAAGCCAGGCCTGATCTTTGGGCTGAGATGCCTGGCTCCAGGCAGGCTGATCTTGGAGATGTAGATTCCAAACTCTAGCAGACTGGTCTTTGTTGTGCTAATCCAAGTGCTTGTAGCTTGTAAAAGGTGAGGCCAGGATTACTGGCCTGTGGATATAAAGAAGCAATGTATGGTTTGCTGCCTCAATGTTCTTCTGTAACTCCTTTTGATGACATCACTATATTGTGCCCTTTAGAGGTACTACGATCTATATAAGGGAGATTTCAGGGCTCTCTGGGGGACCCGTGCTTCAGAGAACCTGGGAAGATGGGACTGAGGACAGAAGCTGAGAGAACAAAGGCGCACGTGCTTGAGAGATCCTGGGGCCTCCATGACATACATCTCTTCCATGAAATAAACTGCTGCTAAGACCAACCAGCTTGGCCCTCGTTTCCTTCCTCCTCCTGACCATCACCATCGACCTCCGTGGAGTGGGGAAACGGCCTGAGACTATTGAACGCGGGTGGCGGGAGAGATAGGCCGCTGCTGTCCCCCTTGCCTGTCCTTTTTGTGTGTTTACACAGAACTTGAGTAAAACAATTGGAAAAAAATGTAACTTAAGAAGATTCTAAAAGTTTTTTAAAGCCATATTTAGCTTACTGTTAAATTCAAAATTCTTTACCAGGCATTGCTACTTAAGTCTTACTTAATTTGTAAAATTAATAAGTAAATTAGAATACAGTTTAATAAATAAGTAGAAATAGAGTGAAATCGGTGAAATTGTATCAGTTCTTTGTAAGCTTGTTCAAGATTGAGAATAACTAGGATTCTGAATATTCTTCAACAAGTTTCATACTGCTCTACATGTTTGTGGGGGCAGTAGGTGGTAGCAGTGAGTTATCAGAGATTATCTTGGCTCTGCATCCAGGGATCAATCTTGGACTACTGGTGGGATCTGGGACAATATGGATTACTGAGGACCCAACTTGGGTCAGCTGCAGTCAAAACAAACACCCTGCCTTCATCACTGTCTCTCTGGGCTGCTGTACTCATTAATTGTAGGTTTATTTTTCACATTCGTGTGTGTCTGTGCCTGTGTGTGTCTCGTGGTGGGTGAGTGTGCACATGCTTGCATTCACATGAATTTTATTTTAGAGAAACCATTATTAAGATATGTGACAAAATATTTGGGGAAAAGTCATAAAAAAAGGAATTAAGCATTTCAAGTATTTTAAACATGATTTTTTCCTTCTCAAATTGTTTATTTAATGCTTTTAAAATTAATATTAACATAATTTATTCCAGACAAATAAGAAAAAAATACTAACCAGTGTGTTTAGAATGAGACAGCACCACATTGATGAAATGATTTCCAGCTTCACAAACCTGCAGAACATTTTAACATTTTTAGTGCGCTATTTCCATAACTCAAAATTATGTATTCTGCAGCTATGTATCTATGCAATGCGTACATTTCAAACATTCAAGAGATATAATGTTACTCAAATTGGGATAGACAATTTTGTGTTTAACAAAGAAATAAATAGTTTTGGAAGATAAAAAATTGAGTTAGCAGACTCACAAAAAAAAAACCTCAGAAGAAAGCAGTATGCTGCAGAGATGTCTCTAGACCTCCTGACAGGCTGTCTCAGTGAGTCCCCCACCTGCCCCAACAAGCCCCGGAAGCCGAAAAATCCCAGAACTCAATCGCCACCATGCTCAAGATCAGTCACCACAGGCTCATATGAGCATCATTCATGAGTGAATCTGCTGAAAAAACGCAGGTATGCAGGCTTGTGGCTGAAATCTTCAGGCTCACACGGGGTCATGAATGGGCAACCTCCCTCCATCTCCCTGTGCTTCAGTAGTCTGGCAGTCTCGTCCACAAACTGCCTCTGATGCCATATAAACTCATTAATGACCATGATCCAGGGACTCACAAATAATCCTCGGAAGAGGAAGAGAGCAACACAACACAGACTTGCCTCCAGAATCCAAAATCATTATTATGTCAAAAAACTGATCTATTAAAGAAGTAATTGGCAAAAAAAAAAAAAACAACCTGATTCTAGGTGTATCACTCTGTTTAAAACCTGAGCATTCCTGCAGCATTTGCAGCTATGTGACATCTCATACCCTTTGCAAGGACTTAATGGCTCTAGCGTGATACAGCAATCTTTGCACACTTTCCTCTAAGGAAACTTTTTCTGATTATCGTTAGTGGATTATTCATAGCAAAGAATACAAAATAAATTATGTACATCCTGCTTTTGGAGCAACTTTGGGGATTGGATGGAACAATTTGAAATATGGTGGTGGGATTGAGTAATGGTGGTGGGATAGGTGTTGGAATATTGAATATAATCAATTATTGTGAACAACTTTATAAAAATTAAATTAAATTAAAACAATTGAGTTAGAAATTCTGGTAAAAGTCTTGACCCTTTCAAATAACTAAGATTCAAATGTTTTTGTTTATTTTTTTGTTTGTTTTGTTTTGGTTTCACACCCAGTCATGCTCACTCAGGGCTTACTCAGACTCTGCATACTAGGATTTCTTCTGGTGAGGCTCAGAGAACTTTCCCGGGTGCTACAGTTTGATCCCAAGTAGACCACATGCTAGGCCAGCACCTACCTGCTGTACTATCATTCCACCCCTCATTTTGTTGATCAAGTTATGTTAGTAACATGTCTTGTACTTGTTAAGAGTGATAACTTTTCATTGCATAAATAAAGAAGTCATGACACTAAAAAATGTGCATAAATATGCCTATTCTATTTCTATTAATATAAGATAGTTCTTCTAATGGGCTGGAGTGATAGCACAGTGGTAGGGCATTTGTCTTGAAAACGGCTGGCCTGGCGGACCCGAGTTCTATTCCTCTGCCCTTCTTGGAGAGCCCGGCAAGCTACCGAGATTATATCGCCAGCACAGCAAAGATTGGCAAACTACCTATGATGATATGCCAAACATAGTAACAACAAGTCTCACAATGGAGACATTACTGGGTCCGCTCAAGCAAATCGATGAACAACGGGAGGACAGTGCTAAATTCTTATCAAAAAGTTGTTTTGCATAAAATATGTTTAAAAGATTTGTATATTAATTCACTTAGAAAATAATGCTAAATTCTGAGATAATTTTATAATTAGAAATATTTACATGCAAAAAAAAGAAATATTTACACACAAATGAAAAAATATTATGACCTAATCTGAGGAACTTACTGAGAACAGGAGCACTTTAAAAATGATATAGTTTTATCCACATTCATTCACCTCATGCAAAAGTATCAAATTTCCACATGCATTTTCCAAGTCTTTCTCTCATTTCTACAGACAAGTCATATTCTCCTCTATTTTCATTAAAGATTATGATATACTGTTCCCAGCACTCTCTCCTCTACAAAAAAAAAATATTGCCTGACTTATGGCAAGGTTCTTTTCAACTAAAGGTTATAAGACGAGGCATTCTTGATAAGAAAATAGTTAATCATTTCTCCAAGAATATTTGCATTTTTATAAAAAGAATCACGCTAAGGAAGTCAATAACTAATAAAAAGAATAAAGTGTTAGATTGATGAGTTAATTTCAATACTTTGCTATTATCTAATCCTCTCAAAATTATCTACTTCTCTCATTTTCTGCATTTTTAAAGACTGTAAAAGGACAAGAAAATTATTTTTTGAAGAAATACTTATTGCAGGAGGAATTGATGAGCTATTGACAATTGTTTCTCAGAGTAAGAGTAAATTTGATAGAAATAGTAAATAATGGAAGGCAGATTTTACTTATATAAATCTTTACAATGGTAAATTTATTATTTTCAAAAGAAAAAATAGTAAGACTCACATCATCCAAAAATAAATATTGCAAAAATTTGTAGTAATTATATATACACTATAGCATGTTTCTTTAAAAAATATATATAAATATTAGTATATTAGGAGTCACAGAATAGTACTAAGGAGACAAAAATAGTACAAAAAAAGCAGAAGAAAATGTTGTCATTACTAATGATTACTCTACAAAGTAGTGATTCACTTATGAGTAAGTAAGAATTAGCCACTACAATCATATTCAATACAATTCTAATGTACTATTTTCATTTTGTTTTTTTTTAGGGGGCAGGGTACTTCTGAAGATGTTAAGGTCTCAATCCTCACTCTGCACTCAGAAATTTCTCCTAGCAAGACTCAGCAAGACTCAGGGTACCATGTACCCTGAAATGAATCTGGGTTATCCAAATGCAAGGCTAGTGGCCTAGATGTTGTGCTACCTTTCTATCCCATAATATATAATTTCCATACCAGTGTTAGTATGTAATATAAATAATGGAAGCAATATTATCTTTTAATGAGGCATTCTTTCTAATAGAGTATATAAATTAGTAAATAAAGACTACATAGTACAGAATGCTATTAACAGAAATTTTAGTAGAAATATATGCATGCATAAAAGCATAGATGTACATTGTACAGAGAGGTTCATATAAGATAATTTTTATCAAGTGTAGTGTGGATTTGTGCTTTGTATAAAATGGAGGTTTAATGATATTTATTTAAAACTTTAGAAGAGATATAAATATGTTTAAATTTTAGGAGTTGATCACTAAAATTTTATCTATCAAGGACAGAAAGAAGAAATAACATAAAGAATGAAATTATGATAATAAAAGTATATGATGTCAAATGTATCATTACAGAAAGTAATTCTGTTTTATTGAAAAACAAACTTTGCTATTTATCTAGGTTTAGTTAAATTTAAAACTATGTCAATGTGGTTTTTGATATTTATTCGACTTGTGAAACTTTTGCTCAAGAGTTTTGAAAACTGAGCTGGCAATAGAGAGAATTAAGAAGCTCAATTTATCAAATTATATTACAATTCAAATAATTATAAACAACCTTTATAGATAACATTTTGATTAAAATATTGAAAGCTAATGACTTAATTATGGAAAGTTATTTGATTTACTTCATTTAATTCCATTAGGTTTATGATACAAAACAGCATATTTTCCACATTGAAAATTCTCAAATACAATCTGTTCTGCATTCTTAATTACATAACTATTAAAGTACAAATAGAAAATAATAAAAAAAAATACATACCAGAAAATTTATAGCAGACACTGTAATTTGTCTGTTTCCAAATGCTAGGAAGCAGAAAAACAAAGATGTTATCTGAACACACATTATGGACTGTCATAGTGTGGACATAATATAAACAATTTTATGAGTATCACTGTCCTCTTGTCTACTCTAATATGCAGTTGCTTTTGCAGATACTTTTTCAGTAAAACATACAATTTTTTATTGTATGTGTATTTTCATAATAGTCTAATGATAGAATACAAGTGGAAGATATACTTAATTTTTAGATTAAATCTATTTGAAGACCAATCTAATCTATTTCATTTGTCATTAGCATGATCTAGCATTTTTTGCTTTTAATCTTTTTAAGTTTTAATATTTTTTAAAGAAAACCTTTGTCAATAATAATAAATTCACCTTTAGCCTTATTTTTTTTACAGGCAATAATTGAAGAGTTCATTTTTATCACAAAAATAAATATATGGGAGAAATAATATTGTCCTTTTCTTAAAATAAAAAATATTTTTACATTATTTTATATTTTTAAATTGCAGGAATAGTAACAAACATAGTAAGAAACATAGCTGAATTTAAAGGATTCTAAAGTCACTGTACTCATGACAGATAAATTAGAACATACAAATTTACTAGAAAATAGAATTTTATAAATTCATTATCTGTATTAGCAGATGCATTTCTTCAGATTATATGTGGAGTATGTGTAACTCTACATTATACTTCTTTACATAAATATAATGTAATTACATAAATATAATTTAATATATTATAATTATATACATATTGTATTACTATATATGCATACATAACTTTATATTGCAACATAGATATAAAATATCATAATTACATATTACAATTTGTAGTTACGATTTGTAATTACAAATATAATGTAATTACATAATTATAAAATGTAATTACACATTTATTTACATAAATATCAACAAACAAAAATTAACTTGATGTCTCATTTTGAATTACATTCTGATGAACGAATGTGAGGATTATTCCAGTTTTAATAAGCATTCAGGTACCTTCAAAACTGTTATAGAATCTGCATCATGATATACAAGCAGACTCTCTTTCAGTTTAATTTATGTATGGTTAATAATACTGTTTGATACATCTATTTATTCATACCTGGCAGTCTCTAAATTGTAAGGCTGGTTCAAGTCAAACTGGGGTGTATAGTCTGGTGCGACCCTAAGTATGACTATACCTGGGTTCCAACCAAATGCATTTCTTTAAACAATGTTCGAATGTGGACACTTTACACAACACTAGGTCTGTGTCTGCTCTTTAGTCTCAGCAGTCATATGTGGATTCAGAAAAGACTGGTTTTATTTAAACTAGTATTGGTGAAGGGCAATAGCACAGTGCATAAGGTATTTGCCTTGCATGCGGCCGACATGGCCAATCCAGGTTCAATTCCTCCTCCCCTCTCGGAGAGCCCAGTAAGCTACCGAGAATATTTCGCCCACATGGCAAAGCCTGGCAAGCTACCCGTGACATATTCAATATGCCAAAAACAGTAACAACAAGTCTCACAATTTGTTGTGAGACGTTACTGGTGCCCGCTTGAGCAAATCGATGAACAATGGGAGGACAGTGCTACGGTGCTACAGTGCTACAGTATTGGTCGATGCCTCTAAGATTATCATGGCTCTGCCTTGGCTTGATGGTGGAATTTCCTCAGGCTGCTTTTTCTGAAATGGTTCAGAACTTTACAATTTGCAGGAAACTGCGGATGTACCAATTGCTGATTCAATTCTTGCCTTAGGATCACATATTGTAAAAGTAAGGTTAAGACCCCAATTTTTAAACCACCAATCCCTACACACAGGGAAAAGTTCCATGCTTTTAACAGTTCTGGCTCACTCCATAGGGCTCCCTGATTGTGTCATAAAATCTAGCTAGCAAATAAGTCACTACTTTTTGATTTTTTGTGAGACTTTTCTCTCAAATATGGTGGCTGGTTTCCCCAGCAAACTTCTCCACAGGTTTCCTTGAAGAATTCTGCATTAAATTCAGTTTTTTGTTATGCTGTCCCTAGTGTTCTTTCTATACAATCCCTTTATATCCATTTTGACTCAACAAGTCTCCTAAATTCCATATATTGAATTATTATACTAGGATTCAGGATCACTGTCACTGTCCTCCCACTGTTCATCAATTTGCTCGAATGGGCCCAGTAACGTCTCCATTGGAGACTTTGTTGTTACTGTGCTTGGCATATTGAATACATCATGGGTAGCTTGCTAGGCTCTGCCATGCGGGCGAGATATTCTCGGTAGCTTGCAGGGCTCTCCTAGAGGGGCGGAGGAATCGAACTCAGATCGACCATGTTGGCTGCATGCAAGGCAAACACCCTACCGCTGTGCTATCTCTCCAGCCCCTGGATTCAGGATAAGCTCTAAATTTCAGTAGGATAACTTTTTGGAAATGAGCTCATTTGGAGCTGTCTTTCATATATTAACACAATCAACTTCTATTATAATTCACATAGTTGATAATATAGTGTAGAATTTTCCCATGCAGATATCTATAAATCAGAAATGCAGATATCTTTAAATCATTTAAATGATCTAAAGTTAGAAAGTACAACATCTAATAAGATATTTTAAAACTCAAAGTAACATGGTATAGAAAACATTTCTATGTCCTGATTTTTAGTATTTTAGAACTAAGTTTTAATATTAAAACTAGTAAATACTACAAAAATTGTTTTGGGCATTAGAATCAATTACTATTAACACGATAAACTAGATCTCTTGATCTTAGCAAATACTTTAACATAATTCCTTATATTGGAATTTAAGAAATTAAGTTGGCTTTGATTATTCACAAATTCTAAAATGTTTACTTCTATTTATTTCCAACTTTATAAGAATTTGAAATACAACTATCCCATAAATGTCATTATATCACCTCTTGTAATAATTCAAATTAGCAAAGTGTGCTTTGTGGACTAGAGAAAAATATGAAGAGACAAATGTCCACTGCAGAAAAAAAGAACCAAAAAGAGTGAAAGAGAGGTAAATGATATTCTTCAATTAAGAGGAAGACAGGTATGTTTTCTTGGAAATAGGGAACTGAGAATTTAGATTAACTATGCACATTTCTTCCAAATGGGCTGGAGCGATAGCACAGCAGGTAGGGCGTTTACCTTGCATGCAGCCAACATGGCCAACCCGAGTTCGATTCCTCCACCCCTCTCGGAGAGCCCGGCAAGCTGCTGAGAGTATTCGATATGCCAGACACAGTAACAACAAAGTCTCCAATGGAGACGTTACTGGGCCCGCTTGAGCAATTTCCTCCGAATTGTTTCATATGAGTCAAGAGCCAAAAGAGTCAAGAGTCAAGTCAAGCTTTTGTTTGTTTTGTTTTGAGAAACACCTGGAAGAGCTCAGGGCTTACTCCTGGCTCTGTACTCAAGGATCACTCCTGGCAGTGCTGGGGAGACCATATGTGGAGCTGGAGATTGAACCTGAGTTGGCTCTGTGTGTAGCAGATGTACTATCTCTGCAGTCCAAGTGCCAAGCCATTTAATAAAGTTATCAAGAGTAAATAATATGTCATAAAATTTTTATATTGAATCATAATTAAATGAATACTTAAATATTTTTAAACAACTAAAGATTGAATATATATAATTATACAGAATTTTGTCTTTTAAATTTTTACTTGTAATTTCAGAGATCTACATCAACTCATATTTTTGCTAGAGTTTCTATTGGAAATAAAATCAAAGCATGTCAGTTAGATTTGGTCTTTTAAGTTTACATATAATTTTAATGGAGGATGATATGGAAAAAATAAAACATATTTTCTTGATTTTTGCTTTTGTGTTTAAGTACATTTTTTACATCATTGCAATGTAGTTTAGGCAAGAATCTGTTTCAGCAACTTAGTAGATTAAGAAGAGATTTTACATACATGGTGGTGTATACTGTGGATGATTAATGTAGTAGGCAATCCAAGTAGTAAATCCCCAATAAAAGGCACAACCCTTTAAAAAAGATAGAAAATAGAATTTAGTAATTGCATGTTTAGAAAATTGATATATATGTATTTATAAAGCACTAATGCATTTATGAACCACAGTGAAATAATTTTTACAGAAAAAAATGGAAATTTTTCTAAACTGGATCAATGGAATGATTATCAATAAAGCAACATTTTTAGAAGAATCCTTACCAAGGATGTGCATTTTTTAATTTAAGTTTTGTAATTATAAGTGAATATTTAGCAAAATGGTTAAATGTAAGAACGGAATTCAGAAAGAAATCTTTAAGAATATGGTCCCCTATTTTTATTGAGAGACAGTGATTTACAACTAGTTAATTATAGAGGTTTATACATATAATGTTCTGACACTACACCCACCACCAGAGTGAAAAATTTCCTCCACCCATATCTCATGGTCCCCCTTTCAAATGCTCCCTAGGTCAGCTCACGTGATATAATATAAGGAGGCTTATATTATATAAAGTGATAAATATAATAAAACAATTAAAATAATTAATATCTATTGTGTAATACACAAATAATCCTTTTCCCAGCAGTAAATTAATGAAATGATTATTTTATCATTGGCAGCAATGCATCTTGACTGAAAAGGGTATCAACTTGTTTTAGGCATCTTAGGATATAAGACTAATCTTATACCAATATATAAGTTTTAATATCTCAAAATAAATATTGAGTTCAATTATTTCTGATGTAGTTAAGAAATTTAGTTGGTATTTGTACAATTATAACTAAGTGCCTGTCTTGTTAAAATTTTCAGAAAACATACATTTGTTGAATAACCAAGAAGATTTTTGTAAGGGGTTAAATCTTACTGAAAAGAATTGTTAAAATGAAGAAGAAATTAAAATAAATTAGAATTGAACATTTTCAAATGCAATAGATGGTCTGTGTGATGTTTATAACTACTTCAATATTCCAAATTTTCCATTTGGTTGATGATTCATATCCAGATTTCACTGCATAATTTTCTCACTGTTTTTACAGTCTAAAATTGGTTTATAAGCTTTCACAAATAATTTTAGACAGATTAGTAATATATTATTTTTATTTGTTTGTTTATTTAGTACCATGATTTGCAAAGCTTTTAGAAATACAATATTGAGATTCAATGTTGCAACTCCAAACCCACCACCAGTGTTAACTTCCCTCTATCAATGATCCAAATTTCCCTGCATCTCCTCATATAACCCTCTTTCAAAATTCATTTTTAAAATATAATTACTTAGTATAGTTTGGCTCACAAACTTACCATATTGTTAATTCACAGGGATTTGATATACATAGTTATCTCATGTCTAACCATTTAAATGCACATGACCATCAGTTCATCTAAGGTCTTTACAATAAGTAACTTTTAGATAACACTAACACAATTATTTTAAACTTTACATAGTGGCTGTACTTTTTGAGAAAAAAAGCCATAAAAATAAAATCCAATATATATAGTAAATGAGTAAACTGTCACATTGATCATTTCTTAGAACAAAGAACTGCATTAAAACTATGTTAAATATGGGTATCTATCATCATTTAATTACAAATGTATATTTATTAGAGTATTAGTATGTGAGATCTATCCTCTTCATTGGCATTTAGATAATGTGAAGTCACTGATGAAGCATTTCCATAATTAATAGCTGCCTGAGTATAATGTGGCTTGCAGAAGAAAGTTATTGCAATTTCACAATTTAAAAAATATACTTTCGGTTGACAGTAGCATCAGTGAAACATTTCATCCAGCAAATGTCATTTCAGGATCAGAATATTCAAGCTGCTTTAAGCTATTCAATTATAGTCAAAAATAAAAATCTAGGCTTGAGGGGAAACAAATAACTAAAATATTTTATATATGATCCAATTAAATTTCTCAATAATAATAATTTAAAAAGCAAGCATATTGAGACTTACCTTTATCAAATTTTTCAAAGGTGAATGTCCTGCAGAGACTTTGTGGACAAATAAGGTTTCCAAAATATATCTAATGTAGTGTATACAATGGCAAAAGCAGGCCAAGCTTCAAAGAAATAAAAGAAAAAAAAAACAAAAAACTTAAATTTTCTTCTAAAAATCTAAATTCCCTCATGTATACATTTTTAGTTTACTAAAAGCTTTTGTGTCAATATGCTATTTCAAATATATTATTTCTGATCATGAAAAGCACAAATATTTTAATATTTGAAAAGCTATGCAAGTATTAAACAATAAAAAGTAATGTTCAATAGTTTATACATTTATTTTGAGGACACTAGAAATATTCCATAATACCAATTATAAAAAATAAGCTCACACCTGCCCCAGGAACATGAACAAATATAGTAATTGCAAATGTGTTCATAATAAAACATTTCGATGTTTAAGCAGGTTGTTAGTTATAAAAATATTCAGAACCTACTTAGAAGTATTTGGTATTTTGTAATAGTGAGAACTACTTTTTCTTTTCTTTCTTCTCCCCCGGCCCCAATTCCCCCCCCCCTTTTTTTTCTCCGGTTCTTGGATTCTTGGGCCACTTCTGACTAGTATATGTTCAGGAATTACTCCTGACAGTGCTTGAGGGACCATATGCAGTGATGGAAATCAAACCAGGTCAACCAGCACAAGGGAAGTGACTAAATTCCTGAACTATCTCTCTGGGCAATATTTAGTTTTTCATTGTCAATTTGTCTTCTAGTAAGTCAAAATAAATTAAAAAATAATTTTGTGTTTCATTTTCAATCAAGTCAGTTACGTGCTTTTGAAAAGTGTATTTATTTTTCACCTAGCTAAAATTGCAACGTCTTCTTTTTTATTTCTTCCATTTTTGGTCATACCTGGCGATGCACAGGGATTACTCCTGGCTCTGCACTCAGGAGTACTCCCGGTGGTGCTCAGGGGCCCATATGGTATGCTGGGACTCAAACCTGGGTTGGCAGCATGCAAGGGAAACGCCCTAACCTCTGTGCTATCTCTCCAGCCCCTGCAATGTCTTCTTTGCCTCTACATATTTTTTTTTACTCTTATTGTTCAAAGCTTCTACCTTACTCACAAAGCACTCTGTAGCACTGTCCTCCCATTGTTCATCGATTTTTGCTCGAGCTGGCCCAGTAACGTCTCCATTGTGAGACTTGTTGTTACTGTGTTTGGCATATTGAATAAGACAGGGTAGCTTGCCAGGCTTTTCTCTGTGGGCGAGATACTCTCAGTAGCTTGCTGGGCTCTCCGTGAGGAATCAAGCCCAGCTCAGCCAGGTCGACCACTTGTGATGCAAATGCCTTACCGCTGTGCTATCGCTCTAGCCCCTCACTCTATTTTATTTTGTTTAAATAAAAACTTCTATTTTATTTTGTTTTGTTACTTTAATGGTCTACAGTTAGGGCTGTTTGTGAAACCTGTCAGCTACTCCCAGTGATGTTTTTAGCCTTGTGATGCTCAGGGTTCACCAGGGATACATCAGGTAATTCTTTTTTTTTTTTCTAAAATTTTATTAGTGAAACACCATGAGGTACAGTTATAGGCTTACAAATTTTGTGCTTGGGTTTCAGTTATACAATGATCAAGTGCCCATCCCTCCACCAGTTCCCGTCATCCATCACCACGGGTCCCAGCATCCCCCCCACCACCCATCCCCCCCGTCCCATCCTGCCTCTGTGGCAGGGTATTCCCCCTTGTTCTCTCTCTCTCTTCTTTTGGGTACTGTGTTTTGCAAGAGAGGCTTTGAGTGGCAATCATGTTTGGTCTATAGACTACTTTTAGCATGCTTCTCCCACCCTGGGAGGGTCCTCACAACACCCTTCATTTGGTGCTCTCTTCTCTATCTGAGCTTCTTTTCACCTAGAACGTGTGGCTGGCCTTCCATTCATGGAGCAAAATTCCTGGTACTAATCTCAGCCATTCCTGAGTGTTAATCTCCCTTTTTGTTGCTTCATCAGGTAATTCTTATCCTGAGTGCTAGGACCGAATCTCAAGTCCTTGTACGTGCTATCAATGTAATTTAATTGGTAGAGATTATCAAGCTATAGATATAGAGGTATAGGTATATTGAGAGATACACATTGATAGATATACATATGTAGATATAGATAGATATTTTCTACCGATTATGTCATATGCTTACCCCCGATATACTATTTTTAAGGTAAATATACAGCTGAAGCAATATTACAGTGGGGGAAACTCTTGCCTTACATACTATCAATCTGGATTCAATCCCCAGCACCCCATGTGGTTCCCAGAGTCCTGCCAGGAGTGATCCCTGAGCACAGAGTCAGAAGTAAGCCCTGAGCACTGGTGGGTATGGCCGCCAAATCAAAAACTAAAAGCAAATGATATGTGTTGTGCATAGAAGTTTACTTTTTGGGTTTGCATATGAACGTATTTTCTAATACAAATGGATCTAATTTGTTATTTTTTCGAATGCGTAAAAATTTGTAAAAGGGTGACTTGTGAGTTTTAAAAGAAGTGTGGGGCATACAGGACTCAAGTATTCAGTGTCCAAGAACTGTTCCCCTGGCCGCCCTACAGTGACAGACGAACAAAGAACCGGAAATGGAGAAACAGGGGAACTGCACCCCAGGCTGGTTGGTAGCCGGTTTATTTCTCTCTCCTCCGTAGAGTTGTCTGATCTCTCCCCTTTCAGCACAATCGTGGTGGTAGTTTTGGTCCTTTTTGGTCCTAGTCCCAGTTCTCATAGTCCTTATCATAGTTCTAGACTAGTTCCCTCTTACTCCTTACAGTATAGTTATGTAGAAATTATGAAGGGTGGGATACACATAGGTAGGGTTGAACATTATCATAACTACAAACAGACGTAAAGCCCCTCCTTCAGGGGAAGTTCTAGGAGATTAACTCAAGGACAAATTCTCATCTGAGGGTTCAGCACTCTAGATTACTAAGAGATCTGTTCAAGGGCAGGATTCCTTCTAGGCTGTATTGCTTTCTCCTTTCTTCAGCTAGTAATCCGTTTATACATTCATAGTAAATTTACTTCTTATAATATTTCTAGTCATTTTGTATGAACATAGTGAGAGATATATTAAGCTTAAAGGTTGACTCTTCCTGGGAACATCTCATTATATATTCCAGACCACAGTCCTCAGGCCATGCTTTTCTCACCCCAGCATGGTCCTTATTATGTTACTTCTTTTTGGGTCATGACAGTTTATTCATGACCATACTCTTAACTTGCACACTACTTATACCACTTAGCTTGTCTCTTTTTGATGCTAGAATAGCTTACAGCTTGCCCTGGGTCCATCCAGCCCCTTTGTCAGGACACTTCTTTGGGGGATGTCAGGAAGTAATGGCAACTAAGGCATGCCAAGTAAATATGATGAATGCCCGGGAATAAATATTATTTGGAGTCAGTTAACTCCCATGTTACAAAAGCATAGCATCAACTGTCTTTCTATGTCTATACAAAAAGGACATTGCTAAACCATGCAAATGACATAAAGGAAAGGGAAAAGTAATATAGGATTATTAGTGCTTAATGGAATTGAGTGTGCCTCAGGGGCACTGTTGTGGGAGTAACTCGATAAACAGAAGCTCCCTGAAGGAAAAGCCAGGACAACCCAATATTATCCAACAATAGTTAGTCATCAAAAATTTGAATCAAACATTGCATATGCATAGACCAATAAAAACTGAGCATAAAAATGAACTTGTTCTTTCTCAAAACACAATACAGTAGCAGCAGAACTGAATTAGTGATTTTGACTTCGTGATAGAGACTTTAGTGGAAACAAATGAATATAAACCAATATTAATAGTCATCTGTGAAATTACCATAATCATAATTCATAAAAATAATTAGACACACATTTTATAGAACACATCCACTATGATATGGATATAATTGTGCACATATGTTGAAAAACACATCCTATATGATATGTGTATCATTGAACAATAGACACTTCCTGAAAGAACAAGCAATGTAGATATCTGGGGGAACACTTTTCTAGAAGGTAAGACAAGTAAAAGCAAATTTCCTAGTATAGAAATTGCTTTGTGAGTTTTAAAGAAGTTAAAGGGAATTAACCAATCTGCTTTTTTTTTCTTTGAAAGTTTATCTACATACCAGAGTAATGAAATTTTCTATTTTTTACAAAAGTATACAATTATTTTATGGTCACCTTTAAATGAAAAAATTTAGCTCAAGTTACGTTATCTATAAAGTAGTTCACACCTTTGTTGTATACTATGTCAAGAGAGCCATGAAACCATCATTTATGTATATAGCTGTACCTTTCTACTCGGAAAAATGCTGCTTTTTCACATTATTAATAACACCAAGTATATTTCATCTCAAAATACTCTTTTTAATTTTAGTTGAGTTGCATTAGCTCTATTGAATATCCACAAATAGACTTGGATATGATTATATTTTCCAATCATTTTCATGTCTTATCCTTTATAATACATGTTTCAAAATATTACAATTTTGAAAGAAACCACAGCCCAAGCTCTAGATAGATGCTAGGAAGACACAGCACTATTTTTCTGTTGAGGCAAATGTTAAATGCTTTGTTCAAACAAGACACCGAAAGTAAAGGTCCCCCCTGCTCGAGCGGACCCAATAACGTCTCCATTGGAGAATTTGTTGTTACTGTGTTTGGCATATCGAATACGTCACGGGGAGCTTGCCAGGCTCTGCCGTGCGGGTGAGATACTCTCGGTAGCTTGCTGGGCTCTACGAGAGGGGCGGAGGAATCGAACTCGGGTCGGCCATGTTGGCTGCGTGCAAGGCAAACGCCCTACCACTGTGCTATCGCTCTAGCACCGAAAGTAAGAAATTTTATTAATACACTCAGAGATTCAGGAGGCCTAGTAGAAAACTTGGCAAAAAAAAAAAGTGGAATATATATATATATATATATATATATATATATATATATATATATCAGATCCAGTATCTAGTAACGTTACTGTACTGTCACTGTCCTCCTATTGTTCATCCACTTTGCTCAAGTGGGCCCAGTAACGTCTCCATCATGACACTAGTTACTGTGCTTGGCATATTGAATATGTCACTTGCAG